GGCCAGGGGCTTCCAGGAATTCAGGAATTGGGTCACTGCCCACTTTTCAGCCTTTCTGGTCGTCTGGCCTGGGAGCTGTGGGGTCTGTGGGTGTGTTGTCATTTAGCAGATGTATCGCAGTGAGCATATAATGAGGCTCAACCTCCACTGGAAGGCGAGCCTTCTGCCATCTTCAGCGGCCTAATTGGTTCTAACCAGTTTTTGTCTCATCTTTAAAGGTTGTGCTCAGTCCCCTTCCCTTCTGGTTTCAAGTCCATCCGAGGAAGGCGTGCATTGCCCAGAGGTATGTCTACTGCACCTAAATACGCCAGGTGACTTTCTCACCTGAGAGAGAGCTAACAGATACTCCGCTTCCCCACTGCTGCTGGAGTAGGTGCTTCTCCGGCACTTGTTGCTGTTCTGAAGGGTGGAGTGTGGAGTCATTTCTCCTATAACTTCATACACTTGTTCAGCCATCTTTGAGCCACTGGCTGTTCCGCTGGGACTGGCAGGGGGTGTGAGAACGATGAGGCAGAGGCCCCCAAGGTGGGTCGGGAACGGTCTCAGTGAGAGGGTGACGGCTGAGCGCCAGCTGAGGGGGCAGGAGGCACCCGGGGAGGGGCGCTCAGAGCAGGGCTCTCAGCAGCCTCAGGAGCGGAGGTGGGGCTTGGAGCGGAGGAGGGGCTCTGCGTCCCGTGAGGGCGGGGCAGGACTGTGCTGCTACAGGAGGGTGGGTCCAGTGGGCGTGAGAGGGCGAGCAGGAGGGCGACTTCCTGATCTGGATCGAATGCAGCTGCCAGACCAGGGGCAGACCAGGCCTGGGTAGGGGGTGGGTGTTGTGGCTGGATGTTGTGTCTGAGGTGCTCTAGGATACCCATGAGGAGATGGCCAGCTGGAGGGGGTAGAGGTTGCCAGCTTAGCGCACCAACAGGAGCCCTGCACTCCACTGGACGTTCAGGCCTGTGGGACTGAAGCAGCTCAGGTCACAGACATGGGCTCAGGCAGGAGCCTGCCTGGCTGGAGGTCTCAGGCTGAATGATCCAGCAGCTCCTAGATTAGCTGTGCTGGCTGCCAGCACCCACAGGGAGCCTGCAAACGGGGTTCCTATGGGTCCTCATTGTTAGATCCTGCCCAGCTGTGGTCAGGTCATCGTGAAAATGACTGTCTACCTCCTCTGGGTTCCCAGAGGACCAGACCTGCATGGTTCAGGGAGGCAGTATCTCATGCTGGTGAGGGTGGACAGGGGCCCCGTGGTGACTGACTTGATGGAGACTGGCGTTATGCACCGCTGACAGCAGACAAGGATTTGGTCATATGGAGGTCAGAGGAGACCCTGACAGGGGCCACTTGGGGTGGAGGGGACGGAGACCACCTGAGGGAGTGGCCAGATACGGCCATAGGGAGGATGACCGTCCATGAGAGATGGTGAGTGTGGGCAGCCCATGAAGGGTTGGAGGAGCGGTGCTGCTCTTCTAGGGGGTGTGGGCACTGGAGTAGTCACAGGAGGCAGTGGCTCCCCCACCGTCTGTTCTGAGAGCTGGCGAGGTGGGACCAGCCTTGTTGTTTCTAGTTCTTCATGCCTGGTGGCACCCTCATGCCTGTTTGTCCAACATCAGTGTTTGAGATGAATTCTGAGCTAACTTTATTCACTCCTTTCATTTTTCCCAGGTGATGGGCCTGCTGGGCTTGTGTCCTGCTGTCTGGCAGGGTGGGTGTGGCACACGCCTTAGCAGTGCTTGTCCCAGTGTCCCTGGAGCCCGCCCAGCCCCAGCCCCCCTGCCAGGTGCTCAGACCGAGTCTCTGGGTCACTCTGGATGCTCCACCAGAAGCAGGCCCTCACTGGAGCCGCCGGGCAGGACCAGGCATGCCCAGGGCATCAGTGGGCCCACGGGAGGGTTGTGGTTCCCACACCACAAGTGCAGCCTCTCCTCATGAGGGTTGTCTCTGGAGGCAGTCAGGCCTGGTGTTTCCCCCTCCCCGTGATGCACTCACCCAGCACTGTGTATGTACGGCAGGCCATGCCTGGTAAGCTGGGCAGTCCAATGGCCCTTGGGGCACATGGCATCCCCAGGCGTCTTGGTTGGGACCATCCTGGGCCCCTCATATGCTCCTTCCTCTTCCTCAGCCCCACTCGCTTCTCTGACACCATCTCCCTCAGACGTGCCACAGACCAGATGATGGCGGCGGCCCGGCTCCTGCCGCCACCAGCGGTGCCTCAGGTGAGTAGCCCCAAGGCCTTTGTGGCGCCCCTGCCATCCTCACATCCTCCCACTCCCAGGGGCCTGGTGGCATCCTGAGCATCACTGCGTTTTGAACACTGTGGCCCCTTCCTGTCGCCCCCTGTGCAGGGGTGCGTCCCCACACCCCACACTGCTTGCACCTTCCTTGTCTGGGACATGGACTCTGAGTCCAACCTGCAGCCCCCCCTGTTGTTGCAGGCCAAGGTGACCTTCGAGGACGTGGCCGTGTTCCTCTCCCAGGATGAGTGGGACCGCCTGGGCCCCGCCCAGCGTGGCCTCTACCGACACGTGATGATGGAGACCTACGGGAATGTGGTCTCCGTGGGTAAGGCCCCCTGCAGGCCTTGGGTGGGGTGAGGTGAGGGTGCTTGTGGATATTGTACAGACGAAAGGACTTCCCTCCCCATGAGCAGGAATTCCAGGATCCAAGCCTGAGGTGATCTCCCAGCTGGAGCGAGGAGAGGAGCCATGGGTCCTGGACAAGCAGGGCAGTGAGCAGCTCAGGGGCTGGGGCATCAGCCGCTCAGGTGAGCTCGGGGTGGCCTCTGTGCACTGAGGGTGGTGTGCTGCAGGTGCTCCTGGGGTCTGACCTGGCAGGGACCCCTGCGTGTGAGTGGGCAGCAGGCAGAGGCCCAGGGCAGGGTAGGCAGGGAGGTAAGTGCAGCCGGGTGTGGGTTGGGTGCCTTGAGGCAAGGTGAGCACATGTGGCTTCCAGGCCCCGGACAGGTCCCTGCTCTGAATGGACATCAGAGGTTGAGGGACATGGGCTGCTGACTCTTAGTGCGGCTAGAGCTGTTTGCCGTGAATCACAGGAGCCCACCGTCCACAGCTGTCCTGGGGGTTCCATCTGAAATTTGGCAGGACCAGACACAATAGCACAAGTAAAGCTGTAAGAATTGGAAAGAAAGAGGAAGAGCATTGCTTGTAGTTCATGATATTGTCCATATGTGAGAAGAGTGATCAGGACCTCCTTTGGGGCCCAGTGACTGAGAATCCGCCTGCCAGTGCAGGGGTCACAGGTTTGGTCCCTGGTCTGAGAAGACCCCACGTGCTGTGGGACAGCTAAGCCCATGTGACACAACCACTGAGTCTATGCTTTAGAGTCCAGGAGCCACGACTTCTTAGCCCACGAGCCACAAGTGCTAGAGCCCGCATGCCTCGAGCCCGTGCTGTGCACAAGGGAAGCCACCACAGTAAGAAGCCTGCATATCACAACTCGAGAGTAACGCTCACTCACTGCAACTGGAGAAAAGCTGTCACCGCAGTGAAGGCCCAGCACAGCCACAAATAAAATAAATAAAATTATATTAAAAAAATGCAAACAGAGCATGTTGACCTCCTAGGCACAGACCCCTGCAGATGCTTCAGGCAGAGTCTGTCTTGGAAGTGCCTTTCTTGGTGTAGGGACTGCTTGGTTTTGGAGCCTGCTATTTTTCAGGGGCTCTCATTGGGGTTTGAGGAAGTCCGTTGCACAGCACCTGTTCTAAGTTCTAAGTAAGTTTAACAGTGAAGCTTACATCTCAGTAATACTGTTACCACCAAAAAAAGGGAAAATTGATGGGGCTTGAAAATATCCGTGTTACAGAAAAAGCAAAATTCAGTGAATGTGGCCAGTTGCCATTCAGTATGCTTCCTAATAAGAAACCCCAGAGAGACCCTAACCCCCCAGAATCAGGTAGGGAGGGCTTCTGGGTCTTGGCCATGAAGCAGAACGTGGGTCCCTTGGACTGAGAAGGTCCAGCTCTCTCCCATTGGCTAAGCCTCCCCCAGGTGTGCCCCCCTCAGGTCTTCCTCTGCCCACTGGGCTTCTTGCTCTAGGACATCCCTCAAGGACCATTTTAACACTGTCCCCAGCCAGGCCTTGTGGGAACTGGAGGAAGCAGCAGAGGCGTTGCTGAGATGGGCCTGGAGGACTGCCTCTGTCCTGTCCCTGTCTCCTGCTGTCACGGCCCTGCTCGCCCGTCAAGTATCCTGGATGAGCATCGTCCTGAGTAGCCAATCCTGGGACAGTCCTGTTTTCTGGTGATGTCTTGTCAATTCAGTGGCTCTGTCTTCAAGATTTGAAATCTGTCATCCTCAGCATACCTGCAGTGCCCCTGACCTGAGTGTGGAAACACCCCCGCCTTCTTGGCCACCCTCGCCGCCACCTGCCAGCCCCGTCTTGTCCCCAGGTGGGGTCTGCAGGATGGGCTCTCAGGAGCTCGCGCTTAGCTCCAGCAGCCCCCTCCCTGTCCCGCACAGTAGTAGGTGCAGTCCCGCCTCAGTTCTACCTCTCATGGCCTCTGGACCCTCCAGGGAGGGCAGGGTTGTGACCACGTGTGCCCCTCACAGGCTCTCGAATTGGACCTGGCCCTTCTCCAGCCACACTGTCAGGTGGACACTTTCCTGTTTGTCACCCGCTGGTGACTTCTGGCCTGGGGCACTCGAGGGCCACCCTGCAGGGTGGAATGTACTCTGCAGTCTCAGAGGGGCTGAACACGCTCCCTTTGGTTTTGGTTTTGTTTCAGGATGTGAGCACAAGGATCAGGACCAGAACATAGACTCCAGCCTGAGGCCGCTCACTTCAGAGGAGATTTCAATGATTCTGAGGAAAACGCCTGCCGAGTGGAGTGATCCAGGAAGTTACGAACCTGAGCAGAGTTTCTGTCTGAGTCCCAGCCCTGCCCGCCCCCCTGAAGGCCAGGCCGTGAGTCCCAGCGTGCCGGTCACCCAGCGCCCGGGTGTTCCTGGCGGGGAGAGGCCCTACCGGTGCGTGGAGTGTGGGAAGTGCTTTGGGCGGAGCTCCCACCTGCTGCAGCACCAGAGGACGCACACTGGGGAGAGGCCCTATGTGTGCGGTGTGTGTGGCAAGGCCTTCAGCCAGAGCTCAGTGCTCAGCAAGCACAAGAGGATCCACACGGGCGAGAAGCCCTATGCGTGCCATGAATGTGGAAAGGCCTTTCGAGTGAGTTCGGATCTCGCTCAGCATCACAAGATACACACAGGGGAGAAACCACACGAGTGTCTCGAATGCCGCAAGGCCTTCACGCAGCTCTCGCACCTCCTGCAGCACCAGCGCATCCACACTGGCGAGCGGCCATACGTGTGCGGTGTGTGTGGCAAGGCCTTCAACCACAGCACGGTGCTGCGCAGCCACCGGCGGGTGCACACGGGGGAGAAGCCACACGAGTGTGCAGAGTGTGGTCGCGCCTTCAGCGTGAAGAGGACCCTGCTCCAGCACCAGCGGGTGCACACCGGGGAGAAGCCCTACGCTTGCGGCGAGTGTGGCCGCGCCTTCAGTGACCGCTCTGTCCTCATCCAGCACCACAGCGTGCACACTGGCGAGAAGCCGTACGAGTGTGGTGAGTGCGGCAAAGCCTTCCGGCACCGCTCCACCCTCCTGAACCACGAGCGCATCCACACGGAGGAGAAGCCCTACGGCTGCTACGCCTGCGGCAAGGCCTTCGTGCAGCACTCCCACTTGACCCAGCACCAGCGGGTCCACACTGGGGAGAAGCCCTACGTGTGCAGCGAGTGCGGCCATGCCTTCAGTGCCCGCAGGTCCCTGGTCCAGCACCAGCGGGTCCACACCGGCGAGCGGCCCTTCCGCTGTGCACAGTGTGGCAAGGCCTTTAGCTTGAAGGCCACGCTGATTGTGCACCTGAGGACCCACACGGGCGAGAGGCCTTACGAGTGCAGCCGTTGCGGCAAGGCCTTCAGCCAGTACTCGGTGCTCGTGCAGCACCAGCGCATCCACACAGGCGAGAGGCCTTACGAGTGTGGGGAGTGCGGCCGCGCCTTCAACCAGCACGGCCACCTCATCCAGCACCAGAAGGTGCACAGGAAGCTGTGACCTTGCCTGCATGTGAAGCCACACTTGGGAACTCGGGAAGCCCTGGGAAGCCTCCAGTCCGGGCGAAGCCCCTGCCAGTGACACCCAGTGTCACCGAGGAACTCACGGGCAGCACTGAAGCGTCTCTGGAAGAACTTCAGAGGATGCCTCATTTGCTTCTCTCACCGTCTTGAAGTCACGTCGCAGAGTAGTTTCACAGTGGTAGTGAGTTTTGGTAAAGACAGCTACGATTCATTAATGTTAGTTTGTTAGAAATGAGAAACTAAAGGAAGTTTCAGCATAAGGACCACTGTCCCAGCAAAACTTCCTCACACTCCAAATAAAGGTTGTTTTTCTTAGAATATTATATGCCTTTCCTGGAGAAGGAAATGGCAACCCACTCCAGTACTCTTGCCTAGAAAATTCCATGGATGGATGGAGGAGCCTGGTGGGCTACAGTCCATGGGGTTGCAAAGAGTCAGACACGACTGAGCGACTTTTCACTTTCACTCTCACTTCCTAAATACAATGGTGGTTCTGATTATTGCACTTAAAACTGGGATGTTGGACTATATTTTCAGTATTCTGTTAAAGTACTGTGTAGATAAAATGATATTAAAAAATATTGTTACCAAGTGTCATAATATGGCTGAAAATCCTAACTGTGGAACTACTTGTTTTCTATGAAAATGGTCTAAAGATTAATTAGTGAGAAATGATATAAATTTAGAAAACCCTTCATCTGGTCCTTTAATTTTAGTTAAGATCAGAAGGGATGTCCTAACTTATCAGTGAAAATTCAACTCAAAAATGGATCTTTCCCCCAAAACCTTTGCAGATTCATAGGATGTCTTAGGCTTCTGGGCCCATGTGGGCTTAGGAGGTGACTTTGTACTCAGAGCGCAGACCTCACAGCTGCTGTACCACCTGGGTGCCTCTTTTTTACACAGTATGGTGTTTCCCAGAAATGTTACTAAAAAGTCTTTGGCACACACTTCTAAAACAAAATTCTCGAATAGCTTTTTGTTTACTATTTCTAATATTTCTATACCTATGATGAAGGGTTTTCTTCATTTTTTACTTCTGGTTCCAAGAGAGTCTAGTATCCGTTGTCATATACTGTGATAAATCTAGTTTATTCATAAGTTTTGTTTTTTGGCCAAGCAATGCAGCATGTGGGATCTTAGTTCCTTGACCAGGGATTGAGGCTGTGTCCCCTGCACTGGGAACCCTGAGTCTTAACCGCTGGACCACCAAAAGCCCCTGTTCATTATTTTTAAGAATTTTTTTTCCTTGATGTTAAGAGCATTATCACCTCAGGAAAAATTAAGCAGTAGAGTGTTGATCCTGAGGTCCATAGCAGTCACTGGTGAAGATGAAAGCGTCCCTTAGAGCTAGTCACAGTGTTCATGCTTCTTGCTGATATTTTTAGAATAGGTAAAAATTATAAATTGTAAACAGTTCATAAAATTATGATAAGCTGCAGAATAATAAAAGGCAAAAATTACTTTTTAAAGTTTAAAATATAAATTTAAAAGTTTATAATTAAAGGTAAATCAAAATAACTGAAAGGAAATTCTAGCAATAGTTAAAATTATCATAAAGGAGCTTTTAAACGAAGTTTAAACAATAATTAGACTAGGAAAAAACCAAAAAGCTTACAGTTTGTTACAGACTTATCAGTAAGTACATGGTGCAACAAGTAAAATGATACAATTTGGTTAAAATTGTTAAATTTGGTGACAAGATGAAAGTTCTAGAGTAATTCTCTGAGAAGGGTGGGCATGGTGTAGCCTTTGTGGATACAGGAGCTGCAGCCCAGAATGGTCTGTGGTCCGAGTTCCCAAGCCGGTTTTTCCCAAGCCCGTGTGTATGTCACCTGGGGGTGGTGTGCAGAGATACTGATGCACTTGGGCTGTCTTCTTTCCTCTGCTGATTGCAGGTATTTGATGTGCAGAGGGAAATCACAAAAGAACCTGAGCACCTGGTACAGGCCAGAGCTTCCATGCATTGTGGTGGCCGATTAAATCAACAGTGAGGCCACCCCTACATCTCAGTTCAGTTCAGTCTCTCAGTTGTGTCCAACTCTTTGGAACCTCATGGACTGCAGCTTGCCAGGCTTCCCTGTCCATCACCAATTCCTGGAGCTTGCTCAAACTCACGTCCATCGAGTTGGTGATGCCATCCAACCATCTCATCCTCTGTCCTCTTCTGCATTCAATCTTTCCCAGCATTAGGGTCTTTTCCAATGAGTCAGTTCTTCACGTCAGGTGGCCAAAGTATTGGAGCTTCAGCTTCAGCATCAGTCCTTCCAATGAATATTCAGGACTGATTTCCTTTAGGATACACTGGTTTGATCTCCTTGGAGTCCAAGGGACTCAAGAGTCTTCTCCAACATCACAGTTCAAAAGCATCAGTTCTTCGGTGCTCAGCTTTCTTTATGGTCCAACTCACATCCATATACATGACTACTGTAAAATCCATAGCTTTGACTAGACAGACCTTTGTTGGCAAAGTAATGTCTGCTTTTACATCTGTGTTTTTGCTTTTTACATCTGGGTGCCAGCAATTCATAGGGGAACCCACCATCAGACATGTCTTCCTCCTTCCTGGGCCATCGAACCATCAGTGATCTGTTCTTCCCAATATAGATCCCTTGGCTGCTTGCCATAACTTCCCTTCCAGTAAGATCCATGTGAGCCAACCTGCCTCCTTGAGACACAGATCCCAGTTAAATGAGCTCCTTCTATGACATGTCTGCTAATTGTCCCTGGTTGTCCCACTTCCTAGAATGGGACCTCCAGTGACCAACCCTTCAAAACTCTCCTTTTTCCTTGGTAGACAGGCAGTGTCCTACCCTCTCTCTGCAGCAGACGTGAAGGTGGCCCTACTTGCTCGGAAGTTCTCCCCGCTCCTGTACTTGGTCTCAGCTGCCGATGGTACCAGTGTTGTGAAGGTAATAGGAGACTGCAGAGGCGGTCTAGTGAGGTGGGGAAGGCCTGGTGCTGATGTTTCTGGGGAAGTGGTAGAGAAGTGGCTGACTGCAGGGCTGTTGGTGAGGACAGGCATTGCTGAGGGGTCCTGGTGAGCACGTGGTGACAGGAAGGAGTCATTGTGAGTGTCGACAGTAGGGGAGGTGATGGTTTGGGTCTGGTGAAGAAAACGCATATTGACCAGCATGGAGTCAGGGGATGGGGAAAAGGTGATGATTTTAGGGTGGAGTATTGTGTGGACAAGTGATGACGATGGGCCAGTGGGTACAGGGCAGGCAAAGTCCCAGCCACTGGTGCCCATAGCCTTATTTTCCTTCCCACCACCCCAGCTCTTCAATGATGCACTTCGACTAGCTGTGTCTTACAAATAGAACTCCCGGGACCTCATGGACAAGGTTTTGCAGGAGCTTGAGGTAGGTCCAGCACAAGTGTCAGCCGGCATGGAGAAAATGGATTCTCTCCATAGGGGTGCAGTGCAGAAGCCAGTAGACTGACTTTGCAGGCAGAACATGCTCATTGTGGGCATGGCCCCTAGAGGTGTCGGAGCTACAACTGGGCAAATGCAAGGCCAGGCCTCACCTGCTGCCTGTTCACAGAACACTGACTTGGAACAGAAGGAGGAGGATGTGCCAGACAGAGCAGCATGGCCACATCCAGAGCCCTTCTCCCTCCTGAGCCACAGGAGGCCTCTCCACGGCCCACCTGGTGGAGGGGGGCCGTTCAGAAGACCCCTCCCTTGAGAATCCTTCAGCTCTCAGTTGAGACAGACCTCCAGGCTGTCCCCTGCTCTACCTCCTACAAACCCAGCTGTCCTGGTTGCACCGCCCTCCCCTCCACCCCCCCACTTCCATGGCCTGTGAAACCTGACCTTCCACATGGTTCCCTCCCCTGTGGGTCGGCGTCAGAACATGCCACTAACAGGTGTAAGGCCCATAACAGACCCTGAAGCCAAATTAGGGATGGACCCTCCAGGCCTGTGGGACAGTAAAGAGAATCAGGGAATATTCTAAAAGGATCTTTAGGTGTCTTATTTCTCCCCCTCTGAGAACTGATGTCAGGGCCTATTCATTGCATTTCCACCAGGGGGTTGGTTTCTGATTCCTGACTTTTTCCTTTTTAATCTCTCAACTAAGCCAATCATTTTAAGAAAATGATTTTGAACGGAGAGCTGTTTGTTCCATAAGTTTTTGTAGAACTCTTCTGGATACGGCCAGTACATTGATGAACAGCGAGGCCAAGATCACAGGCCCAAGTTTGCTAGTGAAAGCAGGTTCCTGGTCTGTCCATACACAATAATATACAAACGTCATTGTGAACATCAAGGGTCAGTAAAGGCACATCACAGGCATTTGCATTATAAGAAATTGACTTTAGGAAAACTTATTTAAAAAACCCATATTTCAACATAAGAGGCTTTTCTTCATTTTTCTGAGGACTAGTGTGGACACTAGCTCCTTGGGTGGCAGGGCTGCTAAGAACTGTCATGCTGCCTTTTCCATTTATCTCCAGGACTTGTCGCTCACTAGAATGCTTTTATGATCATCTTGTACATCATTTCCATTAAAAATTTTTTAAAATTTATAATAAAGGTTGAATTACATAAACTGAATCGATGTGCCTACTTTGTGGGCATGGATTTTTTTAAGCAAGAAGTCACAAGAGAATGAGTATATCAACAACTGCGTTAATGCGAGGAGACAGCTGTATTTGTCAAGCAGGGGTGACAAGGTTAACTTCGTTTATTGTCGCAGAGATCATTTCAGTGGAATTTAGGGTTTTAAAAGAATGGGCGTTTGGGAGTCAAGAACAAACATTTTTACCCTTTAAATTATTGATGCTTACAATTTCAACTTAAGAAACAATCTGACTAGGGAATTCAGGAATGTGTTACCCTGGTGAGATGGGCTCTTAAAAACAAGAAAAACAACAAAAAGCCTTTATTATAAATGAATAATGTATTTTTAAAAAATAATGGCTTCGTTGAGATATGATTCGAATACGATAAAATTCACCATCAGTATTGGGCTTACATAACCATTTTGCATCAGTTCCTGTAGAAAGAAAGCCTCAGACCACAAATCTTGCTCAGATGAATTATTGGGGCAGTTCTCTGTCTCAGCTTCCGACTGCCTCTCCCTGAGGGAGCTCTGGAGGGCGGCCTGTCCCGCAGGGTTGACTCCCCACCACCAGGGGGATTTTTGTGCCAGTTAGTGAAGTGTGTGAAGAGGAAGAGGTGCAAGGGATGACTTGTAGTGTCCAGCTTAAAGTGGCTCTTGTTTGAGCAAGGGCAGGTCTCTGAGGAAAAGGCAGCTATGAGTTCAACATTCGAAGCAGGTAGGGGAAAAGTGTTCAGGTTGGATGCCAGCAACATCTGTGGCCACATAGCCCTACATTGCTCAGATCTACCTGCTTCTTAAATGTCATTTCATTATGACACACAGGAACACCACTTTGGAGTCTCTCTTAATACTTGTTGAGGTGAAACTTACATAACAAAGTTATCCATGTTAAAGTACACAAAGCAGTGCCATTTAAACAATTACATTGTTGTGCAACTATCACTTCTCTCTAATCTAAAATATTTCCATCATGCTGAAGTAAAACATCTTCATTAAGTAGTTTCTTTCCAATATTCCCTCCCTTCAGCCCTTGCAAATACTAATCTACATTCTGTCTCTATGGATTTTATCTATTCTGGATATTTTATATAAATGGAATAAAACATGATGTTACCTTTTGTATCTGTCTTATTCTTTCACTCCTTTTTATGGTTGAGTAATGTTCCACTGTATTATATAACAAAAGTTGTTTGTCCATTCATCTGCTGATGGACATTTGTGGTGTCCACCTTTCAGCTATTGTATATAATGCTGCTATGAATATGCTTATACATGTGCTTACATGCTCATCAGTGCTTATATGAGTAGTTTTCAATTCTTTGGGGCGTCAGAGTCTGTTGAGGCTGCTGTGACAAAATGCCACTGACTTCATGGCTTGTTGTTCAGTTGCTCAGCTGTGTGCAACTCTCTGCAACCCCATGGACTGCAGCATGCTAGGCTTCCCTGTCCTTCACTGTCTCCTGGATTTGCTCAAACTCATGTCCATTGAGTTGGTGATGCCATCCCACCATCTCACCCTCTGTCGTCTCCTTCTCCTCCTGCCTTCAATCTTTCTCAGCATCAGGGTCTTTTTCTATGAGTCAGTTCTTTGCACCAGGTGGCCAAAGTATTGGAGTTTCAGCTTCAGCATCAGTCCTTCCAATGAATATTCAGGGCTAATTTCCTTTAACATTTACTGGTTTGATCTCCTTGGAGTCCAAGGGACTCTAAAGAGTCTTCTCCAACACCACAGTTCAAAAGCATCAGTTCTTTGGCGCTCAGCCTTCTTTATGGTCCAACTCTCACATCCATACATGACTACTGGAAAAAACCATAGCTTTGACTATATAGACATTTGTCGACAAAGTAATGTCTCTGCTTTTTAATATGCTGTTGAGGTTGGTCATAGCTTTTCTCCCAAGGAGCAAGCGTTTCTTAATTTCATGGCTACAGTCACCGTTCACAGTGATCATGGAGCATAAGAAAATAAAGTCCGTTACTGTTTCCATTGTTTCCCCATCTATTTGCCATGAAGTGATGGGACTGGATGTAATGATCTTAGTTTTCTGAATGTTGAATTTTAAGCCAGCTTTTTCACTCTTCTCTTTCACCTTCAAGAGATTAAAAAGTTATTACAAAAAGTGACCACAAGGCGACAGCATTTCTTCGTGCCCAACTCTGGCTCATTCCGCAGGCAGGGACATAAGGAAGATCCTGTTCGCAGATGGTCAAGAGTGCAGTGCGCCAGAAGCAACGCTCAAGGCTTGTGTCTCATCTCATTCCTTCTTTCCCTTCCCCTTTATTTCCCAAAGCACATCCCAATTCCTGGAACACCACTCTATGGAGGGTGCTGTCACTCGTAGGTGGGATGACCATAAGGAAGGGTGCTGGCGGGGGTGGGGGGGTGGGGGACCCCAGCCCAGAGGACACGTGGAGCCCAGGGAACTTTTCAAAGCTCTTCCAGCCCAGAGATTCCACCATTCTTTCGATGCAGTAGGCTTGATTTCTCTGCTGGAGGGCCCTTCTGGATCCAGAGATTGGGGACTCAATCTGAAAGCAAGAGGCACTCCAGGTCCATTGTGGGGGCACATTTCCTCATCCTCCCAGCTCCCTCAGCTCCACAACACTCCAGCCTTGGTTCCGAAGCCTGCTCTGTCTCCAGGGATGTGATACCAGCCCAGGTCACCATGGCCTAAAGGAATAGAGTTAGTATGTCTTGTGTATTTTCTTCTTTTACTTTAAAAAAATTTGAATTGGAGTATATAGATGAAGTGATCAGTAAAGTGATCAGTGCAAAGAAACAGAGGAAAACAATAGAATGGAAAAGACTAGAGATCTCTTCAAGAAAATTAGAGATACCAAGGGAACATTTCATGCAAAGATGGGTCAGTAAAGGACAGAAATGCTATGGACCTAACAGAAGCAGAAGATATTAAGAAGAGTGGCAAGAATACACAGAACTATACAAAAAAGATCTTCACGATCCAGATAATCATGATGGTGTGATCACTCACCTAGAGCCAGACATCCTGGAATGCAAAGTCAGGTGTGCCTTAGGAAACATCATTAAAAACAAAGCTAGTGGAGGTGATGCAATTCCAGTTGAGCTATTTTAAGTCTTAAAAGATGATGCTGAGAAAGAGTTGCACTCAATATGCCAGCAAATTTGGAAAACTCAGCAGTGGCCACAGGACTGGAAAAGGTCAGTTTTCATTCCAATCCCAAAGAAAGGCAATGCCAAAGAATGTTCAAACTACCACACAATTGCACTCATTTCACAGGCTAGCAAAGTAATGCTCAAAATTCTCCAAGCCTGGCTTCAATAATATGTGAACTGTGAACTTCCAGATGTTCAAGCTGGATTTAGAAAAGGCAGAGGAACCAGAGATCAAATTGCCAACATCCATTGGATCATAGAAAAAGCAAGAGAATTTCAGAAAAACATCTACTTCTGCTTTATTGACTATGCCAAAGCCTTTGACTGTGTGGATCACAACAAACTGTGGAAAATTCTTCAAGAAATGGGAATACCAGACCACTTTACCTGCCTCCTGAGAAATTTGTATGCAGGTCAGGAAGTACCAGTTAGACCTGTACATGAAACAAAAGACTGGTTCCAAATTGGGAAAAGAGTACGTCAAGGCTATATATTGTCACCTGCTTATTTAGCTTATATGCAGAGTACATCATGCAAAATGCTGGGTTGGATGAAGTACAAGCTGGAATCAAGATTGCTGGGAGAAATATCAATAATTTCAGGTATCCTGATTACACCACCCTTATGGCAGAAAGCAAAGAAGAACTAAAGAGTCTCTTGATGGAAGTGAAAGAGGAGAGTGAAAGAGCTAGCTTAAAACTCAACATTCAAAAAAATAAGATCATGACATCTGGTCCCATTACTTCATGTCAAATAGATGGAGAAACAATGGAAACAGTGACAGACTTCATTTTCTTGGGCTCCAAAAATCACTGCAGATGGTGACTGCAGCCATGAAATTAAAATATGATTGCTCCTTGGAAGAAAAGCTATGACCAACCTAGACAGCATATTAAAAAGTAGAGACAGTACTTTGCTGACAAAGGTCAGTCTAATCAAAGCTATGGTTTTTCCAATAGTCATGTATGGATGTGAGAGTTGGACTATAAAGAAAGTTGAGTGCCAAAAAAGCTGATGCTTTTGAACTGCGGTGTTGGAGAAGACTCTTGAGAGTCCCTTGGACTCCAAGGAGATCAAACCAGTCCATCCTAAAGGAAATTAGTCCTGAATGTTCATTGGAAGGACTGATGCTGAAGCTGAAACTCCAATACTTTGGCCACCTGATGCGAAGAACTGACTCACTGGAAAAGACCCTGATGGGGAAGATTGAAGGTGGGAGGAGGAGGGGACGACAGAGGATGAGATGGCATCACCGATTTGATGGATATAAGTGTGAGCAAGATCCAGGAGTTGGTGATGGACAGGGAAGCCTGGCGTGCTGCAGTCCATGGGGCCGCTAAGAGTCGGACAGGACAGAGCAACTGAACTGAACTGAATTCTCATGTTGAAGAGGTGTATTTTGGGGTTGCATTTGCTCCCCCTCACTTTGGATGTACCCCAGTTTGCTTACACAGTCATCTATGGAAGACAGCCTGATATTTGAAAGTTTGTAGGTATTACAAGTAGAGCTGCTATGCAGTATTGCATGATAGTTTTTATTTGGACACTTTTTCAAAGCTGTTTTCTAAATATTAGATGTGCAATGTTTGATCCTCAGGTGAGCCTTGTTTACTTTGGAAAAAAAAAAAAACAGCTAAGTTGCTCCGTGGCACATGGGATCTTCCCAGATAAAGGATCATATTTGAGTCTCTTGCATTGTCAAGTAGATTCTTTACCACTGAGCCACCAGGGAAGCCCCTGGGACTTTTTTTTTTTTTTTTTGAGTTTATGGGTTCTAATAGGTGTGCAGTGCTACTTCACTGTAGCTTTAATTTGTGATTTCCTAATGATGTATGATTTTTGAGTACTT